GTGGCCCAGGCACTTGTGTCCTCTCTCAGCATGTCCCCTGGCACTCACCACCCCTCAGAGCCGGAGGGAAGCTGCCAACCTGCTGCTGCAGCACTGCTGGGCTGCTGAGGGGTGGCAATGGCCCGTGGTGGCCTGTGCCTCAAGACTGGTGCTCAGCCACATCTGGCTGTATGGGACAGCAGGAGGGATGGATGGTAGAGTGGGAGGGCAGCTGGAGTAGCTGTTCACCAGAGCCCTGAGGCTGCACAGGTGTTCTCCTGGACATTCCTGGGGATGGCTGCATGGGCGCAGAGGTGGAACCATCCACCTGACTGGGGTGGCACTTGGAGTAGCGTCTCAAAGGGGAGGTGGCACAGCTGTATGTCCATCTGGGAGGTGTGTTTGCACCCTTCGGTTGGGTGTCAGTGTGACACTGGTGCCCCATGCGGGTGCGTGTGCTCTGAGCTGCCTGATCGCTCTGTCTCCAGCCAGAAGCATCACCCAGGCACCTCGGTGCCCAGAGATGTGGGGACACCTGTCCATCTACCTACACGTGTCTGTCTGCACAGCTCCTTCCTCTGCCTGGCCGCCGGCTCTGCGGCTACCCCCTCCACACCAACACACCGGGAACTCTTCCCATGCGTGCCGGGGGCCGATGCCTCCGTGTTGCCATCGCAGTGCTCGCCCCGTCCCCGAGCCGTCCGCTGCTCGGGCTGCCCAGCCGTACAGATGCCTCCTCTGCCGCACCGGGTCGCAGCCTCCACCCTCACGTGCGGCTGCTTTTTTTGTCCCTTCTCGCTGCGGGTCGCGCTCTACCCCGTCCCTCCCGCCCCTCCGCCGCCCGCGCCCCCCGGCGCAGCCCCCACCGGAGCCAGCCACACACACAAGTGAACTTTTCTGCGTTTTCCAGCAATTAAAAAGAATAAAGCAACAGTTGTCTCCAGGCAGGGCATGGATCCTGGTGACCCTGATTTTCTGTGTGGCTGGGCAGGGTGAATGGGGCTATTGAGATCCCGATGACTGGCATCTCCACTCCAGGATTGTCTCCCCTTCCAAGTCCCCCTCCTCTCACTCTCCTCCTCCCTACCCTCCTCCTCGCTTTTAATTTCCTTCCTGCAGAGAGCTGCTCATCTCCTTCCCATTGGCCAAAGGCCTGAAAGGGAATGGAGGAGACAAGGGAAGGATTAAAGACGCTCTGCTTAGGAGCAGGCAGCCTGAATACAAGATGCACCGGCTGGGAAAGAATGGGGGCTTAGTGGGGCACCAGATCAGACCCGCCTCCGCCGCATTCAGCCCGACCTGCATTCCTGCATTGCTAAGCAGGGACCTTTCTCCCCGGCCAACCCCTCGAAGGGATGCCCCGGACCTCTGTCCCACCTGCTGCTGCAGGTAGACCTGCCCAGGATGGTCCCACTACACTGCAGCCCCTCAGGATGCAACCACAATGGAGGACAGCAGCGCTACGGTGCTTGCAGGTCCCCTGGGTCAGCCTGTCCAGTCCAGGACGCAATGCCCCCAGCCAGCCCCACGAGGATGAGGAGGCAGCTGGGGCATCCCTTGGACCAGTCTGGGAGCGATGTGAGGCTTTTCGTGTTCCCAGCCCTCAGCCCAGCAGAGCTATGGGCCTCATCCTGCAAGGTTGGAGGTGTCAGAGCTCAGAGGATGTTGGAGCCTGCAGCAGGGTTGGACCTGTGAGCCCCAGGGAAGGGCTGGGGCACTTCCAGCCACCGCCTTGGTGGCAGGGATGGTGGTGCTCCACTGCTCATTAACCATGTCATCTCACGGGACCCCTCAAAAATCCACAGTGTTCTCTGCCCTTCTCAGCACCTCATTGGACCACGCAGTTCAGGGTGCAGACGGGGCTTGGTGCCTCGCATTCCTTCCTCCCACTGACCCTTCCACCCTTGGTCACGCTGGGAATGAGGAGTCCCCAAGGGCAATGATGGGCAACGGACATCTATCACTGACCCATGGGGAGACCCCTGGGGAGTAACAGGAGCAGGACTTGGCATTGGCAGCATCTGGCTCTTTCCATGTCTTTCCATGCCAGGTCAACTGTCCACATCTCACCTCAGGTGAGGGGCAGGTAGAAGTGAGTGCCCTGGTCAGGCCAGTGCAGGATGGGTGCCCAATGTCTGCCCAAGGGCACTCCCTTGCCAGGGCAAGATCCCTCCACAGAAACTGGAGCAGCATAACCCACTCGCTGTTACTGGCATACTGGGTCAGTCTGTAGTGTTTGCACACACAAGTTCCTCACTGTAGGGACCTTATCCATGAATTGGAAATCTGAGGCTGAGACTGGTTTCCTTCACAGGACAGGGAGAGGTTGTTCTCAGAAACCTCTCTGGGTTCCTACTGACATTCACTCTAGAGAGCTGATTTCTGTGGTGGAGCTGGGAAAGGTCCCAGAATGAACAACACTCTCACCAGTCTGAGAAGCAGGTGGTCTACAGTGGGGAGCGAGGATGGGGTAGATCAGCTGATCCTACAGCCCTGAAGCATCAGTTGTGAAGGCACCCCACGAACCCTACACTGTGAGGGAGCCATGGATCCCATGCAGGGACACACTCAGGGCACTGCACATGCAGCTGCAGGGTCCTGCACTGCAGGGACAGGGGTCTGATCTCCTGTATCCCATGTCCCATGTAGTGCTTAATGTCATTTTAGGTTTTCTGAGAGTTGTCCGACCTCTCCCCATTTTCTGATCTAGATCTCTTGCTGACCTGGTCCCTCACGCACCCCAAAGCTGTGCAGCACCTGTAGTGGTCAGGATGGAGCCCTGGTGATCACATGAACATGAACACAGGAGCTCAGGGTGGGATATGGCTGAGCACATGGAGGTGGCCTATCAGGCAGCCTGGATCACCTTCCAGACTCTTCATTTTGCTGGTCCAGAGGAGGATTCAGGCACCAAAAGACAGCACCATGTGCCAGTTGAGATGCTCCAGTGCATCCAGGACACCTGGAATGGCCTCCAGACCCTGGAGCAGAGGCCAGGCAAGACACGCCAGGACAACTCAAGCAGCAAAAGGAGCTTAGGTGTAAGCGCAGCCATCCTTCCCCTGCTTCCACAGTGGAACCCAGAGGACACCTTAGATGGACACCCCAGGATCAGAGCTGAATCCCACCCCACTGACCAAGCTGTGCAGGCAGGGTCCCAGGAACTGCTGCTCCTGAGCACCATATGTGACCATCACAGTCTCCATGGTCCAACTTCAATCATGTCATAGTCAGACAGCTTCAATCCTCACATGCTAAAAGCCATGATTTTAAAACATTTTTCAGTATCTGGTACTAAAAGCCCCATCTCCAGGAGTCCTGTGATTCCAGCAGAAATTTGGTCAAGAGAAGAACATGGAATCCTTCCTGCAGGTGGCCTCCATTTCCATCCCAGAAGGCAGAAGAAGAAAATGCCTCCCTGTTTTTCCTCCAGAGAAGAGTCCCATCCTTTTGGGCATCCCACCACCAGCCTCAGAAGTCAACATGGAACCCACTGCATGTCCACCTCCATCCCTGCCTCCTTGTTTCAGGGAACGAGATCTGAGGTCTGTGCACCAAAAAGCTACTCTGACGTTAGGGCAAAATAGGCAAAACGGGTAGAAAAGTTTGGCATGAAGGACCTCTGTTAGGGGACTAAGGCAACCCGCCATGCTGAACAGGCACCAGCCGTGGTGAGGCAGCGATGGCAGTGACCCTCAGCTGTGTCTGGCCCTGCAGGAGCACTGTCCCTTCTCACCCTTCACTGAGACCAAGAGATCTGCCTTTGGGTTTTGCCCTGGGGAAATCTTCAGATGTGGGTGTCCCCGTTTCCCTGCCATTGCCATAGCACTCCCCAGCACGGTTGAAGGGCAGGAAACATAGGGGATCCCCACCTTGCTGCACCCCCAGACTCCCATGCAGCCCCCAGCAGCTGCCCATGCTGCCTGCAGGAACCAGGGGCTCCATCCCAGTAGAGAAGCCCAGGGGTCCCGTGTGGGGAAGAAACCTGGAACTCAGGGGAAAGGCAACCACTCTCTCTGTGCAATGCCAGGGGCTTTTGTCCTCCCTCCACCGAGCCGAGGGTCCAGAGCTGCGCGATTCCCAGTCCGGCAGGGATGGAGAGCCCTTCCCTCCTCCCAGCCGCAATGGAGAGGGACCGGGGCTTTCTCTTTAATGCAATGCTATGAATACTCAGGCTCTTTCTGCTCGCTGTTTAATGGATTTGAATGTGAAAAGGTGGTGGAATTGGAAAGAGGGGAAGAGAGGGGGGAGGCCAGGCCTCTTTGTTTGGGGATGCTGCTCCAGCCTTGGATTTATTTAGCATTTGGAGGGCTCTGGGGTCTTTCTCTCCTCCCCAGCCCTCCAAAGGCTCGATCCCTTTTCTGCCTCATGCTTATTAGCATAGCAGCTGCTTGGGAGAGGGGCTAGGCAGGAGAAAAGGATTGAGGCGTCCAGGAAATGAATAGGAGGGGGAAAAAAATAGCTTACAAGGACAGAGCCTTTGAATGAGGGGGAGCAGTGAGTGGAAAATGGGACGGGGTGGCTCAGAGTTGTCACCGTAGCTGTGAATGTGAGCAGGGTGAAATGTGGGGACCCGGTGGGGATAGGCTCCCTGTCCAGGCGCTGTGCTGGGGGTCAAAGGCCTGATCCTGGCACTGTGCAGTGAGGCCAGGGCTGCCCTGTGCCCCACATCTAATGGGCACAGGCTGGAGGAGGGGTGCTGAGCCAGCACCTCCTGTACCCACAGCCTTGGGCCAGCCTGCACCCCTCTTGTTGCAGGGACTGGGGGTGCCCCAGCACCCTGAGGCTGAGGCTGGGGTCCCCCGTCTGTGACCTCCAAATAGAAGCATCTGGAGAGAGATCCTGGTAAGTGTCACAGCACCTGTCAGTTACCCAAAGGTTTTGGGCTGCTGGAAGACCTGACTCCTCTCAATGGGGCAGGCTGGGCATGGGATGGGGCACTAGGAGAAGGGGAGCCTCCAGCTCCTCCACCTTCTCCTGGGAAAGCCCTCCAGCTACTGGGTGACTGAGTGTTTTAGGTGTAATTGAGGTAAATCAGGAGTCCAGGGAGCTGCCACCCAGCTCCTGCCCCAGCTGGCAGAGTGATAACCACACTGAGACATCACAGTGAGAGCTCCCCAGGCACACTGGGGTGTGTGTGCAGAGGTCTTGTCCAGAGCAGGAAAACTGAGAGGTGGTTGGGCACATTTGGAGTCTGTCTGTGCAACTGCATCATGTTTGAGAACGTTGCTGAGGACTGGACACAGGTACGAAGGAATTTTTCAGCTGAGAAGATGAGAACTGAAGTTCCAGTGCACTCTTGGGGTGAGAGGAGGCTGTAGAGTTGCCACTTCCAGGCAGAGGCTCTCCTTGGCTGCAGAATTCATTCAGAGCCAGGATCTGCTTGTTGTGCAGTCATGTTTCAGAGCACAAACCATCAGTCCCAGGGTCGAGGGTCTCATGTGAAGGCTCAGCCTCAATTGCCCCACGAATGCATCTCAGCAGAACCACCAGGTGTTGGCCAGCCCATGTCCCTCTGTCCGTGTCCCCTCTGGCCAGGCATGTGCAGGGCTCTGCTTGCTGGGTCCACTCTGCTCCTGCTCCGTGCTGCGTGTCCGGGTCCTCCAGGATGGCAGGGCTGGCATGAGAAGGGATCAGCATAGCCATGACCATCCTGCTCGGGATAAACATGCAGCTGGCTGGGGAATTTTCCCCTTCTGGGGAGCCTCTTCCTAAAAAGTGGCAGGAGGACACCACCAGCTCAGCTGGGCCGAGATCTGCCATCGTGTGACAGTGCTGCTGGATGTGCTGTTCTCTTTGGCCTGCCCTCAGGGACTGGCCCCTACCACAGAACACTCTTGAATTCAGGCTGAATGAGAAGTTTCCAATTCAAACAGTTGTCCCAACCATCCTCCAGTCCACCATCCCTCCAGCCATTCAGTTTTGCCTCTCTCCATTCTTCTACCCATCCCCTACCCATCCCTCCTGTCATGCCTTTATTCTCCATCCCTCCCAGCCAGCCCTCACCCCCCCATTCCTCCACTTCTCCATGTCCCTAGTGATGCCCCCCTGCCCTTCCCAGACGTCCCTCGATCCCTCCAGCCACTCAGCCTTCTACCCCTCCAGACCCAAGCCCCATCCACTGTCCTCCCCAAAACAAGCCAAACCAGGATGTTGCCATGCTTGGCCGTTTCCATAGGGTCAGGAAGAAAAACCTGTTAAAATGAAGAAGCCAAAAATTCCACGGCACCTGCAGGTCTGTGCCCCACCTGGAGTGAGATCAGAGGTCACCTCTCCCTGGGCACTCCCAGAGATGGGTGCTTCTGGTGTGGCAGTGCAACGCAACAGCTGAAGAATTTCTGGGAAGAGAAGAAAGACATTTCTGCTTAACACACAATGGAGCAGTGTCATCTTCCTGGGGACATTTGCTGTACCAAGAAATGGGAGCTGCCTGCAGTCCCTGTGCTGACACATCCCAGGTCTGGGATCATCCCTGGGGGGACACAGCCCTCTGAGCATGGGAGTCTGTAGAGTGAGAGTGGTTTTAGGGCATGGGGGCTGGCACTGAAAACCCCATGCTCACCTCATGGCAGGGTGTGAAGCTCATGTACACCCCAGGAAGAGCCCAAAATGACTCCAAGCTACAGGAGTAGGCTGGCCAGCTCCAGCCCCAGCCTGGGATGGATCTGGGGGACAGGACCAAGTTCCAGCACAAAACACTGCAGCAGCTTTGGGTCAGTAGCAAAACAGGTTGAAACCATGACTCATCCTGTCCTTCATGAGCTGCTGAGGACCTCCAGGGCCACTGACCACCCTCTCCCACCCATCCACCCAGAGAGACGGAGCCAAGAAAGCCTCAAGAAGGGGCAAAAAAAAATGAAGTCTGGAAATGAGGCCAGCCCGGCCAGGCAGCCCAAGCCACCAGCTCTTTCTCAGCACCCAACAGAAGTTGATTGTGATCTTTTTTTGTTGAAAAAGGTAACTCCTCTTTGGATCGGCTGGGCTGTAGCATTATCATAGTCATACAAACGCCCAACAAAGCATCTATTTAAAATGTCCTGAATTTTGATTACAGCCTGTCCCCTCTTGCTCGCCTGCTCACTGTCTTTCTTTCTCATTCATTACTTACTGTGTTAAGCTCCCTGAAATTCAAATAAAATCCCACCTCCTTCCCCACATCCATATGCGGGGCCGATTCAGCGCCACTGGCTGGGCTTGACGGATGAAGGGCAATAGAAGACAAAGCTGTCAAACCTCGCCCGGCTGTGTTGACTTCCCATCGCCCCCCGGACGGAGGGGAGCCCGATCCATCTGGTTTGGAGTCACCAGCACAAACAAAAGCAAAAGACAATGGCAGGAAGCACTTGAAAGTTCAAATTCTTGCTTTGGTTTCTCTTGGAACAACAGCACCTACGTAATGCAGCCGGCGGACAATAATGCGCAGCCAGGGACAGGCAAAAATGCCAGAAGAATGTGCCTACACCACCAAACCAGCCAATATTTCTGTGTTATTGGAACAAAAATAGAAAAGCAAAAGAAAAAAAATGAAAAAAAAAATCAAGGCTTTGGAGTTCCTAGATTTCTTGGACAGGGTTTCTGTAGAGGTGAACTACAAAGTGGGGTGGCCAAGGGCTGTATGAGGAGCCTGGTACTGGGGCAGCTGTGCCCCAAGGGGCTCAGCCTTGGGGGCTGGGGCTCAGCTGTGCCCTTGGAATGGCCCTCCTGCCAGGGCCATCACACTTGGGAGCCAGGGAATACAGGGCAGCTTCGGGGAGGGGGAGGGGGCGGTGTCCAAATCCCCTGCAAAGGCCTGCCAGACACCCCAGCCCGCCCCATCCACTGTGGAGAGAGAGAAACCACGCACAGGAATGCTGTGTTTCCTCAGCAAAACCCATCCTTGGGGTAGTGGCCAGCCCAGCCCAGCTGGCTGGTGCCCTGGGACAAGGTGAAATGCAAGAAGCCCCAGGGCTGAGCCCAGCTCTGTGACAACACAGGCACCAGGATGAGGTTTTGCAGCATTCCAAGCTGCAAAGGGATGAGTCTGAGATGAGCTGCACCTGCAGGTGCGACCCTGCAGTGCCAGCCCTGGGAACATAGCGGTGGTGGCAGGTTTGGTGGCATGTGCTGATGGGTCAGTGTCACAATGCTGGGGCAGGAGAGGGGAGAGGTGCCCACCCCACACATCCTCCCCACAGATCAGCAGCTACCGCAGGACCCCGGGTGAAGGACTCCCAGACCCACCAGTGGTTGTGCCTGAGGGTTTTGGCATCATCATTTTTTTCCTGCTCAAATCCAGTCACTCAATGCCTGTCTTTTCCACACTGAGCTGCTGCCCAGGCAGCTGCATGTCCCCAGGGCATCTGGGGACACCAGCTGTGTCTGTCCCAAACACTGTCCTGTGCTGGCAGCAGATGGCACAGGGGCTTGGCACATCAGAGTGGAGTTTGGCCAGCCTGAAAAGGTCATACCAAGTCTTTTATCCCCATTTCTTCCCCACCGTGTTCATAGGACACCACTCCTGGAATCCCCAGGAATCTACACTCCAGAGCCAAACTGAGCATGGTGCAAATTTCCCCAGGATTAGACATTTCCAGGGCTGGCAAAATTATTGATATAGAGGAAGCCTCATCCAACCTCCAGTGCTGCCAGTGAGGGAAGTTTGTCAGCATCCTGCCTTCAAAGCCCTGGCCTCAGGGAGGGCCCCACCAGTGCAGGCATAGGACTGCCTCTGCTCTTTCCACTTCCCGGAGCAGCTGGATCCTGCCTGGAAAGCCTCCAGAGGAGCAGGGCTCAGCCTGCTCTGGGTACTGGTCTGCTCTGAGCCACATGAGAGGACAGAAATGCCTCTGGGGATGGAGAGCCCAGGCTGACCCTCACCCCGTGCCCCTTTCCAAGGGGCAGCTGAAGCCACCACTGACCCCACCCCCACAGCCTGAGGGTCTGCCTCAACCCCTCGTTGGGGCCCAGGTTGGAATCAAAAAGCCTGGAAAGGTTCACAGGTAGCTGGAGGGTGCCCAGCAGTTGAGGCTGGAGCTGCAGGCCCAAAAGTGCACCTCACTGCCACAGTCCCAGGATTGGCTGCTGAGCTCTTCCCTCACTCCCTCGGTACAAGTAGCTTCTTTAGGAATGTCTCAAACACCATGTGCCCATCCAGCACCAGGGTTTGGTCTAAGCCATAACCCCTCCACCAGCCTCCAAATGCTGGGGTGGGGCAAACCAGGACACCCCTTGAGCCCAGGGAGCTTCCTCTAGCCTGTGGGAAGGGGCCACATGCTCATACCCCAAATCCATCCCAGACATCCCTCTCCAGGGATGCATTTAACCACAGAATAGCTGCAGGTTTGACACCAAAAGAGAGACCTGGGGACCCAGCCAGACACCCCCCGCCCCAGGAACCACCCAGCATCACCCATAACCACATGGGAAAGAACAAACAGAAAAGCCTTTTTTTTATATAAAAAGATCAATGAAAAATTTATTTATAAATTTTGCACTCTGGGGCTACACGTCTATATCATACACTCAGGAATATGCTGTACTGTACAGACTTTATCCAGTTAGAAATGATCATATAGTGACCCACATACAGCTTCAATATAAGCCTAAGAATTCTTAACATTAATTAACATAATTAAAAAAGGTATTCGCATCTAAAGAAAAATCTACAGAAAAACTCCTTTCTGGAGCAATCTGTGCATCAGCTTCAATGTCTGCTTATTTCACTGACATTATCAATATATTCTTCTTACAAAAATAATAATAATAATTAAAAAGATGACTGCTGGAAGGCAACCAGTCATGCATGAAAGAGCCTCCCCCACCTGCCTCTTTTTTTTTCCTTGTACTCCCCGTTTTGGCATGAAGGGTCAGCAGCACGATGAGCCAACAAGGGGGGTGGGGGGACCCTCATTTCAATTTGAATCAGTCTGCATCCCTTTTACTTCTCAGGATCAAGAGAGACCAGGGGTGTGGGGGTTGCATAGAAAATTGAAACTCTAGGGACTAGGAAGGGCAGCAGCTTTTCAGTAAAATACAAAGGGATGTAAAAATACATCAACTCACGATCTCAGAGCAAACCCCCTTCCCCAACGTACAGTTTCCCAAAAATCTCAGCGTGTCTAAAGCTCCAGGAGGCTGGAAAGGAACAATACTTTTCTTAAACAACTCACCCAGCAATTCACACAGGAGATTCACAGTCTTAATAGGTATTTTATAAAAATATAAATATGGGCTACCTCATGTTGTCTTTACAACACTGGACAGAGCTCCCTTTAGACTGGGTTTATAACCAAGATTTCTTTTTAAAAATCCATCTAGAACTTGGCTTTACAATACACTTTTTAATATCATGTCATAAATGTTATGACATTTCATTGTGGCAAATCCATTTATGTAAAAAAAAAAAAAAATGTGCAACCATCTGGTAACGACGACAAAACCTCACTAGAAAAGGTCTTGTTCCCACCCCATAACTATCGCACAGAAGCACCAGTGGAAGTGCTGGACACCCCCTTCCATGCTCACAGAAAGACTTCGGCCAAGCAGTTCCTTGCAAATTACAGCATTAACAGTAGATGCTTTTGATAGAGCTTTTTATCTCTTTTTCTTCTTTAAATTTGGAGCTTTTGAAATCATCTCAAATTGTTAAAGTGGAGAAAAAACCAAAAAACATCAAACAAACAAAAAACCCCAACTGCAGGTGAAGCCATCAGAGACAAAGCAGAATATTCAGTGCAATGGGAAATAATCATGGCAGACTCTAGTTTTTTTAGTTTTAAGACTAGGAAAACAAACAAAAAAAAAACCCCAACAAACAAAAGGCATATTTCCCAAACCATATTTTTGAAACACTCACCACCAGCTTCAAACAAAATCAGGCTCACAATCTTCACCACAAATATATACAAACATGATAAATAGGTAAGACACAACCCAAATAAACCAGCAGGTAACTATTTTCTTTTCTCTTTTTTAATGGGAATGGTTTGGATGCAGGGTGTGAGAGAGGAGAGAGCTGGGAGACGGCAGTGATACGGATGGCTTTAGTGCAGACGAGGAGAGGGCTGAAAGATCAGCGGGAGCGAAGAGACTTCTGAAACTTTCCACATTTTCCAAATGGATGGTCTTGTGCCATAGCAATAAAAAAGCAGCATTTGCGATTATACGTGCAGTCACTTCAAAATGCGCCTTCGGGTGGCTCACTCTGCTTCCCCCCTTTCCTTTATAAAGATATATACAGTGGGATATATATCTCCTATAAAAGGCAGGTGAGTGTACATACGTCAAGTGAATCATTCTGCATTGAGAAGTGTTATCCAAGTTTCACCACAAGAAAAAAATAAAGTTCCCAAACTCTTTTCAGTAGTTTTCCAGCATCTCTGTAGGCAGCAGAGAGCGCTCGCGCCCCTTTTCTGTGCAAAAGCAAATCCTCTGCCTCTAGAGTTTATTTTACTTTTTTTTTTTTTAAGGAAAAAAGAAGTCCAGGATTTGCTAATCCCCCTTTATACACAAAATCAGAAGGACTCAATGTCTTTTCCTGGGATCTCACGTGTGCTAAACGGATTCGTGGAGCGGGTGAGGACACAGACTTTCTTCGGACACCCAAAGAAGAACCAAAGCAGAAAACCCAATGAAAAATCAACCAAAACGAGGAGCAATTGGGGTGAGAAAACCACGTCTGTCATATTCCAACGGAATCGCCTCGACAAAAAAAAAAAAAAAAAAAAAAATCAGCGGTGGGAAAACACTGGGTGAACCTTGGAGAGGAGGAAGACTTTCCTGCTCTTCCTCGCCGGCAAGGGCCGCGGGCGACCGGGAGCACCCAGCTCATCGACGGACCATTGCGCCTGGAGCCGCAGCTGGCACGGGAGAGGGGACCCCAGCACCAGAGGGGGACGGCGGAGAGGCTTTCGGGGAGCGTTGAAATGAAATCGTTTCTGAGCCAGAATACTTTAATGGGAGGGTTGGGAGCGAGGGGAGCGGG